TACTCTCACAAGCTATCGCTCTCTAAAACAATGAAAACAAAAACAGATAAACAAATAAAACAAAAATAAAATGTAGTGGCATATTTTGTGGTAGCATATTCTGGTTGCTTATACTTGTATTCCAGAGTGGTCTATTCTGGTCTCCCACAGTAAGTTTTCACAAATACTTCATTCTAAAAACTCTAGAAGTTCCTTTTATTAAAGGGTTAAAAGATGGTGGTTGAAACCACATGGAAAGAAAATGGATCAAGCACAACTAATATAATAGTTTTGTGTTGTTGCTTGTTTTTTCCCACATCCACTTTCCCCCATGTGGATAGCTGCATATTCATTTCCTTTCTGGAACTATGCCCCCCGCCCCCCGCTTGTGTGCAGTATTGGTGGGGTTATCCATCAGGGTTTCGAATCCCCTCTACTGAGTCAAGTGACGGTCATGAGATGCAAGCTAGGCCAACCAGACTCTTTCTTATAGGAGACCAGAATGTACTACCCGAAAAGATGGCTCTTTGGCACAAAGATGATTTTGAGCTGATTATTTTGAGAAACAGAAGACAGAGGAGAAGCTCTGAAAGCAGCCTATAAATCACCCATTTACAAAGAAGGGACATTTATCATCATAGAGAAAATCTCTATCCCTAAGGGTGTTTCCCTATGTCTAGTAACAAGATAAAGATGACTCTAAATCACAAGAAACTCTTACCAGTGGAGAAGGCACAGGCTTAACTCTGCAAAACAAACTTTGTTTTCTATACTTTCCTTGCCAACTTCCTGGAGCCTGCCTTCCCCACACTCTTCTTCCTTTGTTTTAGCTGAAGATGGTCTGTTAGCCCAAGGTCTCACCACCTCTTGGAATGATCTTTCCTGATGTGAAGAACAAAGGCAAAAGAAATGTAGAAAGAACATTAAATTTCTTACAACTTGCAGCCCATTGACAAGTACTTGGGACAGGCAGAGTGACCTTCTTCTAAGAGCTCAGCTGCCTCAATGTTAATACTTTGCTAGAGGAAAAAGGTAACCTTAGCCTGATATTACCTCAACCCCCAGGATCCTGTAAGTCTCCTTTAACATATAAAAATCTCTTTGGAAACTTCCTTTATCTCTACCTCCCCCCCCCCGCCAGGTTATATGTTAGCATTAATTCTCCAAGCCTATGCCCCACCGATAGACATCTGAAGGGTCTCATGACTCGTGTTGTACTGGACAATAGTAAATGACCTCATCTTAACAGCAGCTAGCCCCTCAAGGTCTTAAAACCCTTGCTTCCAAATTCCTTAGAGACTTTGGCTACCCCTAACCCAAACCCGACTTAAAAGAATAGAATCAGCCACTACTCACAACCCCAGTGCCGCTCTTTCTGCCCACGGGTCCTGTCCCTGTACATTAATAAAACCACCATTTTTGCACCAAAGATGACTCAAGAATGCTGTCTTGACCATTTGCTCCTGGACCCCAACATCACCACATTTCACACCAATCCCTTCATTTCTCCCATGTATATATGACATATCCATGCTAATAAACTTCCGTTTGTTTTTCTGTCTTATGTTATAAAGGCCATAGCTGAGAAGGAAGGAGAGAAGAGAAAGATTGCTTCTTCCTCTACACTATCTTCTGAGACTGAATCTCTAATAGTGATGCAAGTAATGTGGGAAACAGAGGCAAAAGAAAAAGTTAAATTTCCTTACTTCCTACAGCCCATTGACTAGTCCTTGAAACAGGTAGAGTTGATGAGGGAGCAGAAGGCTAGCTGAGGACAGGCAGAATCTGACACCCGCCGCCCCCCCCCCATGAGATATATGTGACATTCCTCAGGCACTTCTGGCTGCCCTAAAGGAAAAACAAATAGTTAACTTACAGAGATTACAATTCTGCAAGACCTGAGTCTCCCTCAGTTTACAAAAGTCTTAGCAATTTACAAGAACAAAGCGTTTCTATCAATGTCTAGTTTCTAGTAGGGAATGTAGATACAATTAAATGTCCTTATAATCTGCAGTCCATTGACAGATACTTGAAGGGGGCAAAGTGTAATTTCCTCCAGGAAGTTCCCAACTATCTTACTGTCAATGCCTTACTAGAAGGAAAGACAATCTTAACAGGTAATGGCAAGGCCTCTGGTATCCTGTGAGTCTTCTTTAACATACAAAAATCCTTTTGAAACCTCCCTTTTCCATACCTCCCCCAATTTGCAAGTATATAATCAGCCATACCTCACAAACCCAGGGCAGCTTTTTCTACCCACGGGTCCCGTCCCCGTGCTTTCATAAAACCACTTTTTGCACCAAAGGTGTCTCAAGAATTCTTTCTTGGCTGTTGGTTTCAAACCTTAACATCTTTCCTATATCATCTACACTGGGAGGGTGATGCACCCCAACTCCATGAAGAAAGAAGCTCCTTTACTAGGGACCCTCCCACCTTACCCTTGGTATCTCTTTATCTGGGTCTTCATCTGTCTCCTTTATCCTATCCCTTAAGGAACTGATAAACCATCAGTGTTTCCTTGAGTTCTGTGAGCACTCTAACAAAGTAGTGGAACAAAGAAAGGGTTGGGGGAAGCTCAGATTTATAGCCAGGCAGTCAGAAGCACAGGTGACAAGCTGGACTTGCAATTGGCAACTGGACCGGGGGAGTCTTGTGTGTTTGTGGTGTGTTTTCTCCTAAAGAACTGAAATAAGGGAGCTCAAAACACTAAAGCTTCAGGGAAGGAAGCACTCAACGGATATCAGGAAGTCATCATTTCCTCACAACTTCTTTGAGGAAGTTATCACTTCTTCTTTGTTCCTTTAAGTAGGCTTGCTCTTCCTGTGTCTACAGGGATACTGGCTTTAAACGGTGAGTTGGAGAGTGTGGGTCTCATCCACACTGTGCACGAGAAGTGCATCTTCCAAGCCCTAGGTTCCCTTTCCTCTTTCCTAGGGCTCGGAACCCTTCCCTGCTGCACGCAGGCTGCGCTGGCATACCTGGCAGAGTGACAGCAGACAAAAGCCTCTGAGCCTGGGACTAACCACGGCCTCTGATCTCAGCGGGAGCTCCAGCACGGAGACCTGGTAAGAGGAGAACCCCGGGGGCTGGGGAGAGTAGAGCCGTGAAGATGGCCAGAAGGTCCAGGTCACATAGATGGAGGAGAAATATTCCAGAAGGGAGGAGGGAAGAGCCGGGGTTCTAGACCCATAAGTACAGGACAAAGAAAAGAATGGGATCTGCCAGTCAGAGGAAAAGTCATCTTACCTCACATTCCTCCTCCCTGGGCTTCAGGTCCTTCATAGAATGTGAGACTCAAGTCAGAAAGGAGATGGTTTAAAAAAAAAATTCGACGAATGAAATCTTGAAAGGAGCAATAAAGATCTATATGGATGTGAATAATAATTTTGCTCTTTTAGCTTCTAATACTATCATTCTCTCATTTTCTTCCCTCTTCTTACACAGAAGAGATGATGCTGGATCTTCTGGGACCCTTTCCTCTCTTCCTGTTGCTGCTGGGATCATCGGGGCCAGGACTTGCCTCTGGTGCTTGGGCTCAACTCACTGGGTTTCAAAAGTTTATAATTAAGCATATAGGAGTAGCTCCTGTACAATGCAACAATGCAATGCATGCTGTCAATAATCTTAATCGGATCTGTAAGCCTCAAAACACCTTTCTGCATGACTCCATCCAGAACGTGTCTGATACCTGTCTTTTGCCCAACATACGCTGCAAGAATAAACGGGATAACTGCCACCGGAGTGCAAATCCTATTGGCATGACTTACTGCAATCTCACTGGAGGGACATATCCCGACTGCCGCTACAGTACCACTCCCCAGTACCAACGCTACACTGTTGCCTGTAACCCCCCTGAGCCAGGCGACCCTCCCTATCTTCTGGTTCCTGTGCACTTAGATCAAGACTAAGGTTTCTGTGACTTTCCCTATCACTTGGTGCAGGTTCTCTTATTCTTTTTCTTTCCTTTTGTTGATTTCCATGTTTCCCTTAGAGAAAGAAGGAGTGGGTGCCTGGGTTCCTCAGTGGGTTAAGTGTCTGCCTTCGACTGGGGTCATTGTCCCAGAGTTCTGGAATCCAGTCCCATGTCAGGTTCCCTTCTCGGTGGGGAGTTGTCTTCTTCCTCTGCTCCACACCCTGCTTGTGCTCTCTCTCATATAAATAAATAAATCTTTAAAAAAAGAAGAAAAAAGGAGGGGAGTTGGAGAATTACAGGGCCACGATGCAATACCACAGTTGGGGACAAAAACAAACAGGATTCTTTTCTGCTTTGGAGCTTTGTGTGTTTCAAAGGAAGGCAAAGGAAGAAGGCAAAGGAAGACCCAGGCCTCATATTTTTAATCTTGGAACTCCTGCCAAGCTTTGTTGCATTGTGTTCACAGCAATAAAATCACTTTCTGTTGCATTGTAATGACCGTGAGTGTGTGTCTTTGGGATGCCTCTCACATCATTGCCAGCCTGGGGCCATCTTGATTGCATTTGTCAACATTCTCAGGAGAACTATGTGGGCCCTAAGCGACTTTTGAGGTTATTCAGCAACCCAAGGTTTCTTCTGCCACTTCCGCCACCCCTGTGTCCCTGGGACTTGGAGCAAGAGTGTTCTCCATCCCTTCAAACTCTGCTCATGGCTTTTACATATTTCCCTTGAAATCACAGTCTATGTTTATTTGGAGGTGGCACAGATACCTCAAAGAGTGTCTGGAGTACTTTCACACACAGGTTCTAACTCTGACACTGGTGCATCCTACATCTTTACTATGGTTTCTGTATTTCATCAGATAATGTTTTAAATATAAGTAGTAGTAGTAGGGATAATAATCCACTGTAGCCTTAGAGTTACTTCTCCCATGGTTTATTGGAATGCATGAAGACAAAGCATAGATCAAGAAAAAAAAAAAGCACTGGGGATATTGTAAATTTCTCCCTTTATGTCTGTTAATATTTACCTTATGTATTTACATCCTCCAATGTTGAATGTATAGATATTTACAATTGTTTTTTTTAAAAAAAAAAAAAGCACTGAGGTACTAAAAACATTCCTGCCTTACCTAAATACTGAAATATCACAGAAGTAATGGGGTTTTGGAAGAGGTAGAAGATTTAGAAATTGAAAGACTAGGATTAAGAATTTGGCTGGGATTAAGAATTTAGGTCCTAATTGTAGGGGAGGAAAAATAATTTTCCCTCTACCATTTTAGGTTCTTGGCTGAGAGCCCCTCAACTTCATTGTATTCCTGCTCTCTCTCTGTCAAATAAATAAATAAAATCTTTTTAAAAAAGGCAACTTCATAGGACAAAAACTATTTTAATTATGTACATACATACGGGAGCCCCACAAAAATATTAGACTTAAAAGCAACTAGCCAATTGAGTCTTATGGACCATCCTGACTATGGAAAGGATAGGGGTCTAGGTCTTTAAAAGGGGGGAAGACAATTCAGAGGAAGGTGAGAGGAGGCAATGTTTGGGAAAGGAAATTTGCCCTCCCATGCAGATGACTCTCTCAGATGAAAGTGATCCCTGTAATGGCTCACTTCCTGTTACAGGCTCCTTTCTAATGTAAATTTCCCCTACAAAAGGGTAACCTCCACTCTGCTTTCAGAATTTCTTCTGGTCAGCACTTTCTCAAAATAAACAGCTTAACATTATTCTTATGCCAAAAAGGCATATTTTAGGGTGGCATATTTTGCTAATCCTGCATACCTTTCCCTTTCCTTGTCAACTACTAGATTCATAGGGCTAGCAGGCCAGTGTAAGTCAAAGTGCTTTGTAGACTGATCTGTCTTTGAGTAGCAGCCAAACATAATGCCTATCAGAAAGGCCACCTACTGAAGTAGTTACTAGTGTGTCAATTATCTGCACTGCAGAATGGATCTTTCCAAACCGAGCGAGTCCTTTAACAGGTGTGCTACTTGGACTCATCTTCCTTCATGCCACATATTTATGTCATGTCCTAGAAACAAAGACGGAAATATGAAGTTTCAGGTTTCAGGAGCCTGGATTCCAAGTGTGCTAAATACTGAAGGCCCCTCTCAGTGGGAAGACATAAGAAGGCCAGGACAACTTGGCACTTGAGAAAGTTGGTACCCAGTAGGGGAACTTATCTGGTGGGACCTGAGTCCTCCAATTTAGAGCAGCTTTCAATAGTATTCATCTTTGGGGCACCTGGATGGCTCAGTCATTAAGCGTCTGCCTTTGGCTCAGGTCATGATCCCAGGGTCCTGGGATTGAGTTCCACATCAGGCTCCCTGCTTAGCAGGGAGCCTGCTTCTCCCTCTGCCTGCTGCTCCCCATGCTTGTGTTCCTTCTCTCGCTGTCTATTTCTCTGTCAAATAAATAAATAAAAAATCTTTTTTAAAAAATAGTATTCGGGCGCCTGGGTGGCTCAGT